CACTGTGCAGACAACATCTATGCACATAAGCATATGCACATAAATGCACACAGATAACTTTTCATATAAAATCTGTTGGCACCCATACACTCACTAGCCCCTACAAGTCTCACACACACACACACACACACACACACACACACACACACACACACACACACACAGAGAGATCACCCAACCCCACACACACCTCTATTCAGACCACTCTCCTGGCTGCCAATGTAATGTACTGTCAATGGAAATGCCAATCTGGGAACAGATGGGTTGATACTGCCCAAGCTCTCTGTTGCTGGCACTGCCCAGTACAGTTCCAGGGGTGAAGAAGGACCCAGTAGACTTTTGCTGAGTGAATAGATGAATAAAGCGAAGGGCACAGGACAAGCCAGAGGTTGGCAGCTGTAAGCATACAGTGCTGAGGGGTTCCTGTGGGTAAATTGAGAGGCCTGGCAGGGGTGTCACAGCCTCAGTTTTTATTCCTCTTAGAGACCCACGTGAGCAGGGACAGAGAGTGGATGCTCACAAATGCTTATCTTACAAATTGTACTTGTGCTTGAGATTCTAGTTTTTAAATTGGTCCCATTGTTGTTTTTGAAAGGGGGGGTGGGATTGTTAAAAAGCACATGAAGGGTTTCAGGAAGAAAATTGGAACCAATAAAGTATCTTCTATGTGTAACTATGGGGAAATTGAGGATGTCAGAGAATTAAGGATGAGTAAAGAGGAAACTAAGCAAATGAAAAACCAAGCAGGTAGTAACTCCAGGAAGAACAGAGTTGCACAAAAAGGGAAATGTAACTGTAATATGCATCTTGGCAAGAAACAATATTTATATGGTCACAATATAAATAACATTAATTAATCATTTAATGAAAAATTCTGATAAATGTAGATTTTGAAAGGAAGGGAGGTGGAGAAAAATGGTCTTCCTTGATAATAAAAACTACAAAAAGAAAGAGTTTTGACCACTTACTGGGTGATGTGCCTTATTCTAGGCACTTCACATGTTGAATCCTCATAACAGTCCAATAACTTCAATATTCTTATTACTCTCATTTTACAAATGAGGAAACTGAGGCATCAGGTGGTTAAGTCACTTGCCCAAGGTCATCTGGCCAGTAAGGGGAAGGGCTGGAATTCAAACCCAGGCAGTCAGGCTGCAGAAGTCACACTGTGGGAACATCAGACCTGAAAGTCAATATTTGCCTAAAATAATCAAGAAAATAGCAGGAAAAGGATGTTACTTAGAAATATGGAGGAAAGTACTAGAAGAAATGGTTTAGAAAGTTGACTGTGGTTGCTTTGGGGAGCAGGGCTGGGAGTGGGGAGTACAGGGCAAGGGAATGTTTTTATTAGTAGTATTTATATAGATCCATCCATGAGTTGGGGACAGGAACTGACGGAAGGAACGCGAGGGAACTCTTCATGGCTCTATACCCTGACTAGGGTTTGAAATACAGTATGTACTTGTCTAAACTCAGCAAGTGGTACCTTTAAGATCTATGCATTTCACTGTATATAAATTTTACCTCCCACTCCCAAGAATAACCATAAACAAATACAGAACTCTAGCTAATGATATGCATGATGAAGTGCCTTTAAGGGGAAGTGTACTGATGTTTGCAGCCTACTTTGAAAAGCTTCAAAAAAAACCAAGTTGTTTTAATGGATGGATAGATGGATAGATGTCTGACAGAGGAAATACAGCAAAATATTAACAACTGTGCATCTAGTAGGTGATATATAAGTGTTCGCTATATAATACTTTCAACTTTGAAATTTTTCTTAATAAAATTTTGGGGGAAATATATGAATATATTATCTGAAAAATAATATTAAATTAAAAAAAAAACTGGATGGGGCACTTCTGTCTTGGGCCTGGATGGACCTGCATAGTCCCCCTGGACACAGGATGTCAGGCAGGATGGGGGTCTCCTCCCCCTGGTCCCCTTCAGCAACTCATTAACAAAGCCAGAACCATTTCATCAGGGACAGGAACAATGCCCCTTGCTATATCCCATCCTCTGCCAAAAGGATAAACTGAGGTCCGGCAGGTAGGGATGGGTATACTTCCCAGGGGGCCCATCACACCTTCATGACAGAAGTAACCAGCCAGGTTGCCAGTCTCCCAAGCCCACGTGTATAATTAGCTGCTGGGAAATAGATCAGGGAGCAGATACCATCTCTGCCTAATTAGGGGCTAGGCAGCTGGGGCCAATCTGGCCTGGGGAAGCTGCTATGGCGGCCAGGTGGCCCCAGGGGACAGGGCAGCAGCTGCAGGCCCTCAGAGGGCCTGAAACACAGCGGCTGCCACTCACTGCCCCTCACACTCCAACTGGAGGCAAAACAATAGAGGGCCTGTTTCTGCAGATCCCCGAGGCTGGTAGACCGGTGGGTACGGGGAGTGGCAGAAGCCCCTAGCCGCTCCCTCCACAGAATTCTGGAGGAGGGGAAGCCCTCCCAGAACAAGGCAGCCCCTGTCAGAGAAGTCAAGGCTCAATGTGGCACTTTCCCCACTTCCAAGAATCCCTCCCTGCTCTCTTCCAACAGACCCTCCTAATGCTCCTCTCAGCTCCCCCTGGCCCAGCTCCTAGGAACAGCTCTGGTCTTAGGGCAGAAGTCCCTGAGTGTAAATGACTAGTTTCTGCTTAGCTGCCCCTTCCCTCCCCCTAGACTTGGCAGGGCCCATGGCTGTCTTGTCAACCGCTGGACATCCAGTAGGTTCTCAATAGTGACTAGGAGGAAAGGCTGCCAGAATGGGGAAGAGAGGTGAGGCGTGTGTCGGGAGAATCAAGGAGCCAGAGTGCCGGTGACTGGGGTGTCCAGCAGGCCAGGGTGTGACCCCAGGCTGGAGTGCAGGCCCGCTCTGTGACAGCCCGCAAGCCACTACCCCTCCTTGCTCTAAGACAAGAGGTGACCTTCTCAGGTGACCATAAAAAAGTCACCTTGAGGACTCAGTGACAGGTTTAGTATGAAAGGTCTGAGCCCAGTACTTAAACTTCCTCCAGGAACAAGGGGTCTCCCAGCCCATCACCAACAGTCCTGTGACCCAAACCTCAATTTCTTCACATGTAAAATGCAGCCAACACTCCCACCTTCTTGTGTTTCTGGGGGTCTGGCAGCTCATGGCAAGGGGCAACCCTTAGCACCGAATTCTGTCTGGGTTGCCTTGGGAGGGAAAGGTCTTTGCCACCTCAAAGGACACGACCTCTGCAGAGCTTACCCAGATTATCATCCCCCCGACCCCATCACTCCTTTAACCTGGGGACCAGGAGGCACCGCTCCTGAGTTGCCAAACTTGCTGGGAGCCTATGGCGGGTCATCCCCCTCCTGTGCCTCAGTCTCCCCGTCTGTATCATGAAGGGTGAACTCCATTCTCATGAATTTGAACACCATCCTCTTCTGTAATCCGATTTCCCCTTGTTTCCCCAAATGGCCCAGGCCCAGCCAGGCCTGGGGACTGGCTGTGGACTGTCAGACAGACAGACAGCTGGGCTGACCTGGATGTTTGTCAACAGCCCAACGGAAATCTCTTTATGCTTAAAATAAAACCTACATCAAACCTGTCACCAGGGCCCCCATTAGAGCTTCCTGTTTCTGAGCGCTGCAGCCCAAGCAGCCTGCGGGAGAGGAAGCACCACCCAGCCCTGCCACCCGCGCCCCCACGGGAAGAAGGGATACAGAGGCCACCCAGGCTCTCACCCTTTGTGTGCCCGGCCCTGGCTGCTTCACCAGCCAAGGGTGGGGGGCGGGGGGGTCTCCTAGCAGGTAACTAACATGGAGGGAGACGGAAAGGAGCCGAGACCTCAAAGCCCGGTTCCAGCCACCTCCTTCCCCTTCCCCCAACCCAAACAGGACCATGCCTCCAACTCTCCCACGGAGGCCCAGAGAGGGAGGACTGGCTTGCCCAGGGTCACCTAGAGGTGGAGGCAAGGCCACTCATTTTTGCTATCCACCTCAAGTCCCTCCTCCTCTAAGAACTTCCACTTCCAATCTCCAATCGATGGCCTGTGTGACCTCAAGTTCAGGGCTTGCCCCCTCTGAGCTTCCTGCCCTCTTGGGAACTGGGCTGGGATGGGAAAGGGCAGAATACTTACGGTTGGGGAGGGTCCATGTACCTGTCAGCCTTTCCCAGGCAGGTCCCCTTCCTGGTGCAGGGGAAAGTCTCCAGTCCTCTTCTCAGTTCTTTCCTGATTCACTCTGTGATCAGACCCAGCATCCTCCACTATGAAGGAGGCCCATCAGCTAGCCTCCCAGAGGGGTTATGAGGGTGCCCTGTGAGGCGAGTCTCAGGCAGAGCCAGCCACTGGCCTCATGCCCCCCCAGATCCTGGGGTGGGCAATCACTGAGTTTTGAAGGCCCCACCCCAAGACTTCCCCCACCCCTTCCCCTTGTGTACACAGAAGAGTCTGATGACCCAGCTCTTGAAAAACAAACATTTGTGTTTATTAACCGAGAGGAGGGAAGTCAGAGCAGTACAGACTCCTACCAGCCCTTTCTGTAGTCTACCCACCTAGGCCCAGGCTGGCAAGCCCCTTGAAGAATGTGGATAGGCCACTCCTTCCTACCCCCACCCCAGGGTGAGTTCCCAGGGAACCAAGGCCCACTGGGTAAGGAAGAGGAAGTCAGTAAAGGACAGAGGCCAAGGAAGGAAGAAAGAAACAGAGCTGCTGGGTAGACAGCTCTGGTGAGATCCCTTGGTCCCTCACTCTCAGTGGGAAGGGCTAAGTGCCCCAAATCCAAACCTACAAGCAGGGGTCCATCCATGCCAAAACCCTACATGTGAGGTGTAGGCGGTAGTCCAAGGTCACAAGCCAACTCTCTCCGGGTCAGTCCTTGTCAGACGGATGCTGGTCCAGCCTCTGAGCCTTTGCCTCTATAGCAAGTTCACACGAGGCAGCAGCCTCTGGTCTGCCCCAAGCCAGGGAATGGATGCAGGAGAGGTCAAGGGGCCTATGGCTTCTCTAAGCTCTGTCCCATGGCGAATGTCGAGTCCCATGGAGGCCTAGCCCTCAGCTGCTGGAGTCTCCCGCGCTTGTCGCAACCCATACAGCCATTTGATCACCCGGGCGTTGCGTTCTATCACTGACACACCATAGGGGATACGCTCCCGAGCCAGCTCCTCGATGGTGGCAGAGCTGCGGCGGGAGCAGCCCCCCTCAGAGCTAGCCGGCCCAGCACTGGGCCCAGCCAGGGACACGATGTCTGAGTTGGCCCGGGCTAGGTGGGCCACACCCAATCCCCGTGCCTCCTCCTGGTCCAGGCCGCAGAAGTTAAAAAATCTCTCCAGGTCAGCTGCTGCCCGGGAGAAGCGCTCACTCAGGTCTGACTTGGAGCGTTGCAAACCTGGGGGCCGGGCCGGGCTAGAGGTGGCGGCAGTGCCTGGTGATGGGCAGGGCTGGGCAGGTGACGCCGGCAGGGGAAGGACATCCACTCGGCGGACTGCAGCAATACTGGGTGGTGGGCGTGGGGGCGTGGCTGGGGGAGCCTGGAGGGCCCGCTCTGACCGTCCAGGGGTACGGCTGGCCTCAGCAGGGGACACAGGACTATCACACAAGTTGATGAGGCTGCTCAGGATGTCAAGGTCCAGCTGGGGCCGGCGGCCGGGGCCAGGCAGGACTCGGCGGCTAGGTGTGAGCACCGTGCGGCGAGTTCCAGGGCTGAAGAGTGGCTGTTTGCACAGCAGGGGCTGCACAGGTTCCTGGCGGGTATTGGCCACATGCAGGCTCTTGACGTACTTGGCCTTGTCGGCCTCCAGGCGCTCTACAGCACTAGGTTTCCGGGCTCCACAGTCTGCTGGCCGCTGTAGCAGGGAGCCGGGGGCCTTGGTCTGTAGGCGGAAAGGTAGGGCGGGGGTGTCTCGGGCTCCCGGAGTCAGCGTGTCCACAGGCATGGCTGTTACATACCCCGAGGGCTTCTGTCTGAGGAGACTGGAGAAATGAGGAGACAGATCCAGGCGGAAAGCTGGCAGCTGGACACCTCAACGGCTGCAGGGGAGGAAAGAAAGAAAGGGGCAGAGCACACTCAGACAAAGGCTCAGCAAAGACTGAGAAGAGCTGAAGACGCCTTCCCCATTAAAAGGTAAAGGCCACGCCTCTGATTCACAGAGAGCCAATCAGCAGGCAGAAAGCACCCGCTCACGGGCCTGTGGCTCCGCCCACCCCCCTCCTTCTCCGAGGGCCCAGCCCAGCTGAGGCAGAGAGAAAAAAAAGGTGCCAAAGAAGAAAGGCACGGGCAGCCTGTGCAGAAAAGATGGGACACGGCACATTTTAAAGGAAGCAAAGTGGGTTCCAGGCTGAGTGCTGGGCACCAGCCAGCTCAACTTCAGTGGGTCCTCTTCACAGTTCCATCTTGCAAGTGGGTAAACTGAAGCCCAGGGAGGCGAGCTTGACTAAGCTAATTCAGCAAGTTGGTGGCTCTGCCCCTTGCCTCCAAGCAGGGAGGTGCTTGCGCAGGGGTCTTGGGGTTGAGTGACCAAGAAAAAGGGCTCCAACCCCACACCCCACCTGGAATGCCCACAGGAAGCCTGGTACCACCTCCACCCCACACTCACCCAGGCAGGAAGCTGCCCTGTGCCACCCGCCTAGACATGCCAGGCCCCAGGCATAGCAGCAGAGCTTGTGGAGGAGGAGTGTAGAAAGTCCCCACCCCTGCCCCAATGGAGTCCAGACACCCATTAGCTTCCAGTATGAAATTCCAATGCCAGGCCCACAGCAATCCATGGATGCCTGTCAGGTGGAAACGTCAGTCCTGAGCTATGCTGCTCTGAGAGAAGCTGGAAATGCCCAAGATCACACAGCCCTGCTTAGGAGCATCCAGCAGACTCTGGATCTGCCAGCAGCAGTAGGATGTACACGCATAGGCAGGAGGGCCCACATCTGGATGCACAAGTCTCCACCTGATCACCTAAGCATCAGGGCCCAGTACCCCAGACATCAGGCCACCCCTGACCCTTTTTCCAAGGAAGGGCTAGAGCCACAAAGTGCCCCCCGCAGTCCCCTGGAGATGGGCCAGAAGAAAACCCATAGACCAAGTCCTGAACCCTTTCATGTGTAAAATGGGGGAACGGGACTCTGTCTAGGTGATCCTCAAGAGGACCTGTAGCTCAGGCCATCTAAACCTGTATTGTCTAATTCAACAGCCACTAGCCACATATGGCTACTCAGCCTTAACTTTAAATTTATAGTAAATACACACAATTCAGTTCCTGAATCACACTAGCCACATTTTAAGGGCTCAATAGTCATATGTGGCCAGTGGTCACTATACTAGACAGCACAGATTAGAGCATTTCCAGCCATAGCAGAAAGCTATGTTGGACAGCCCCACCTAGACATCCAGAATGCCAGGAGGGAAGAGTCTGGATTGGGGAAGGGAGAGAGGAATCTGTCTTCTAGACATTTGACACCATCCTCTCCTGTAATCTTCCAACAAGTCTGTGATACGGGTCATTGTCACCTCATTTTTACAGATGGAGAAACTGAGACTCAAAGAAGTGACCAACCTAGGTCCCAGAGACAATAAATAAGACACAAATTCATGTGAAGCCTAATTCACTTATCTAAAACAAACGAATAGTTTTACTCATTGTTGCTCACATTCTCCTAAAACAGTTCCACGAAGGGGGTGGGGGTGGGGGGTGTCCGTTTTGTTCACTGTATCTCAGTTTCAAGGTATTGTGTTCTTTACACATAATAGGCAGTCAATAAATATTTACTGAGCTGAAATACCTATGGGGACCAAATGTAAGCAGGCAGACCAGGGATAAACTAGAGAGGGGCATACCCACCCTACTGTAGGCATATGGGTCCAAGATGGTAGGTATAGAATGTTCTAGGAAGCTGGGAACCCAGGAGTGCATGGAAACTCTAGATTCTTAGCATATTTGATAATAATAATTTTAAAAACAGTGCATGGACAGGGCAAACAAAACATGCCTGCAAACATATCTACCCCCCCGCCCCAGTCTGGCCCCCAGCCCCCAGTCTGAGATCTCTGCAGCAAAGGCAAGTTGACAATAGAACTTGGGGGCTGTTGGCCCAGAGCCAGAGCTGCTCCCGAGTTAGAAGGGAGGGAGTAGGTGGGAGAGAAAGGCTGCCCCACTCAGGGCCCAGCCCCAAGGAGACCTCAGGAGGGAAGGGTCACAGGAAAGGCAGCCTTGCTGAGCCCTGTCAAGGTAGCTAGACTCTGCCCTACCCCCGGGCCCCCGCCTCCCAAACCAGTCCAACCCGTTGGTGGCAGCGGTTTCCTCCCGGGCACCATCCCGGGAAACAGAAGGAGGAAGGAGGTCAGATGGGCAGGGCTAGGGCAAATGTTCTGCGACACCCCCCCCTCCCCCCACCCGGCTCGGACCCCCACCCCCCTCGGGCCGGACGTGCAGACCCCAGGGGCTCTTCCGGCGGGACCCGGACAGAATGGGGGAACGGGACTCTGTCTAGGTGATCCTCAAGAGGACCTGTAGCTCAGGCCATCTAAACCTGTATTGTCTAATTCAACAGCCACTAGCCACATATGGCTACTCAGCCTTAACTTTAAATTTATAGTAAATACACACAATTCAGTTCCTGAATCACACTAGCCACATTTTAAGGGCTCAATAGTCATATGTGGCCAGTGGTCACTATACTAGACAGCACAGATTAGAGCATTTCCAGCCATAGCAGAAAGCTATGTTGGACAGCCCCACCTAGACATCCAGAATGCCAGGAGGGAAGAGTCTGGATTGGGGAAGGGAGAGAGGAATCTGTCTTCTAGACATTTGACACCATCCTCTCCTGTAATCTTCCAACAAGTCTGTGATACGGGTCATTGTCACCTCATTTTTACAGATGGAGAAACTGAGACTCAAAGAAGTGACCAACCTAGGTCCCAGAGACAATAAATAAGACACAAATTCATGTGAAGCCTAATTCACTTATCTAAAACAAACGAATAGTTTTACTCATTGTTGCTCACATTCTCCTAAAACAGTTCCACGAAGGGGGTGGGGGTGGGGGGTGTCCGTTTTGTTCACTGTATCTCAGTTTCAAGGTATTGTGTTCTTTACACATAATAGGCAGTCAATAAATATTTACTGAGCTGAAATACCTATGGGGACCAAATGTAAGCAGGCAGACCAGGGATAAACTAGAGAGGGGCATACCCACCCTACTGTAGGCATATGGGTCCAAGATGGTAGGTATAGAATGTTCTAGGAAGCTGGGAACCCAGGAGTGCATGGAAACTCTAGATTCTTAGCATATTTGATAATAATAATTTTAAAAACAGTGCATGGACAGGGCAAACAAAACATGCCTGCAAACATATCTACCCCCCCGCCCCAGTCTGGCCCCCAGCCCCCAGTCTGAGATCTCTGCAGCAAAGGCAAGTTGACAATAGAACTTGGGGGCTGTTGGCCCAGAGCCAGAGCTGCTCCCGAGTTAGAAGGGAGGGAGTAGGTGGGAGAGAAAGGCTGCCCCACTCAGGGCCCAGCCCCAAGGAGACCTCAGGAGGGAAGGGTCACAGGAAAGGCAGCCTTGCTGAGCCCTGTCAAGGTAGCTAGACTCTGCCCTACCCCCGGGCCCCCGCCTCCCAAACCAGTCCAACCCGTTGGTGGCAGCGGTTTCCTCCCGGGCACCATCCCGGGAAACAGAAGGAGGAAGGAGGTCAGATGGGCAGGGCTAGGGCAAATGTTCTGCGACCCCCCCCCCTCCCCCCACCCGGCTCGGACCCCCACCCCCCTCGGGCCGGACGTGCAGACCCCAGGGGCTCTTCCGGCGGGACCCGGACAGATGCGAGAAGCCAAGCCCGGCTTTAGGGCCGCTGGCCGTCTCGCCCGGAGCTGGCCCCCTCGCCCGCTGTGCACAGCGCCTTGCGCAAGCAGCTGCGCCTCTTCCAGACTTGGTTTCCTTATGTGTGAAATGCTGTTAAAAATATACCTTCCTGATCCTCCAGGTCACCGTGAGGATGGGGCGATAAAAACAAGTCGAGGACTTTCCTCAGCACCTGTTAAAAAGGCGGCGCTGCATGAACTGGGCTCCTTGTTTTTATTATGAATTTAACCCAACTCCTGAGACCGCCCCTCTCGCAGGGGTCTCTAAGCATTCTCCAGAAGAGTCTGTCCGAGCCTAAGCGGCGGACAAAGGAGGCTAATCGGTGAACAAGACTCATTTCACCCGTGGGCAAAGCACGATGTGCTGTGGCTCCTACAAGTTAAAGCCAGGGTCCCGGTCCCCGCGTGGGCCTCGTGTCCTCTCTGAGGCCTCCTCTCATCGCCCAACGCCCCACCCACGGATTTCAAACATTACCCACAAATAACCGCAGAAGCGCCGGCCCCGGGTCCTTCTCATTGGCATCCCCGGGGCATGCAGCCTCACCTTGCTCACTCCCCACCGACTTCCCTGGCGTCAGCCTCAGGAGGTTGCAGAGGGGGAGTAGGGGGAGCACGGATCCCTGGTCTGGCTTTTGCCCTTCCCAACTGGGGGCAATCCTGGAGATTCCCAGCGAAGGCATGCTCTGTGATTCTGTCTGCTCGCCGCCCCTCTCTGTGCCCGGGTTGTCCTGGCTCTTAAATGAGGGAGCTGATGGCACGATTCCTACAGCCTCGTCCAGGCCTGAAGGTGAGTCCCTGCCCGGTCCCCGCCTTCCCTGAGGAGGAGGGAGAGGTGCCCGGGCAGCCCCCGACCCCGGCCCCG